ACATGAGACACAGCACAATACCCAAGATGAGTACGATAAGAAGTAAACACGGTGCTTTGTGTGTCTGTCTTATCGTCCTAGTCTCTGTTGTCACGTTGTAGTTAACCATAGCTAAACCCTCCTGCGCAACACAGAACTCCAAATAGCTACAAAGACGCTCGTGGAATCACCCATGAACTATTACCAAGTGGCCTAACTTACCACGCTCCTGCCTCTGGATAATTCGTTTGATTCATCTTCCAATTAGCCTACAAAACGAGTCTGTTCCTGGCAAACACTGCAGGTGCGTGTAAGCGGGCTTCACAAGAGACATTTCACTGTGCCCTTGCTTATGGAAAGTATGAGAACCGGCGATTAGTTACAGAGGGCATCTTTGGGGGGCCGGAGAGTCCACGTCCAAAGCGATAAGTGAGATAGACTGATGCTGAGACAATGACGCATGCCCGTCTTCGTCGTATCTTCACGTGGTTCTTGGAAGGATCGTGGCGGCGGCACTGTACCGAGCAGTGGAAACAAAACGGTATTCGTGACGAAAACTGCAGTGGTCTTGCAACGGGCGAGGTGAGTTGCGTTGCATACAGATGTTGCCACGGCTAGTGCACGCGTAGCCGCTGGGCAGCCCCGTGACTTACGTTTGCTGTCGATCTTCCGGCGCGATTCGCCATATCCATACCCGCCGCTAACGCCGAATAATAGCCGTTATGAACGTTACTCATTGGCTCACAGGGAACAACACTTTGGTAACCTCAACCGGTGGCAGCCAAAATTTTGCCGCTGTGAGTGGAGTCCAAATTCCTGCGGTGATATACGGCGATTGTTTAATCTGATGCGGAGTGTGTTTGAACGTCCACGTATGGGCTTCTGAGAGCCCTTGTCGCTTTGACAGCGGATCAGACCGGATTCGCTTGTCCTAAGCGCTGCTGGGATAAACGCGGAGATATTATAAGTTTAGTGTGACAGGTTCGCTAGTCCGCAGAGTGGAAAGAAAAAAAAAATGTTCAGAATTGGAAAGTTGGTGATTTAAAGGAAAATATATCTTTCATCATACTCTTTTGAGTGTCGGCTGTGTGGAAGTGTGTATCTATTGTAAACGCAAGCGCTCTCACCGTTTATCTCGCTCACAATATTTTAAAAAGCGCAATTTTAAGACGTTGATATTATCATGTATTTACGATTGGGACGGCGTTTGCTACAGACTGAGTTGTCACAGCCTGCACAAGATGACGAGAGCTAAGGATGCGAAGAATATTGCCCAGTCATAGAGTACGTACCGCAATATATTAATTGCTGGAGTTTCACGCGAGCCGAAACCATGATAGGATTATGAAAGACATCGTAGTGAAGGGCTCCGGTGCTTCCGCATTTTCGGGCTTCTATAACGTGCACCTCAATAGACGGGCCTCCAGCACTCGGCTTCCTTCGAAATCTGGTCTCCGCAGCCGGCATTCGATCCTGAGACCTTAAGAGTCAACAGTCAAGCATGGTAAACACTATAGACCACAGCTGCGGGTCCGCAGACCGTCGACCTCGCGGGATGGAAGTCCGGTCGCGGCGGCCACATTTTCGATGGAGGCGGAAACGCTTGGGGCCCGAGTACTTACATTTAATTTATATGCACGTTAAAGAACCCCGGCTGGTCGAAAACCCTGGCGCCCTCTACTGTGGCGTTTCTCATAATCGTATCATGGCTTTGGGACGTAAAACCCAAACATTTATTATCATAGACCACAGAACCCCCGCTTTTCTATGAACGAAGACCAAAGATGGCCATCAGCACGTGCCGCTTCCTCGGACATCCAAACCGGTATTTTTAAACAGACCCGCTCGTAACTCGTAGAACGGGCATACACGCAACGTGGCGCCATCTATTGATAAACAAGAAGAGCTGCTTGGGTGACGTTGACGGTGCACTGGATTGAAAGTAGGCACCGGCATTTACGTACCGTCACCAGCAGGAGCGCTGCCGCGCCAAGTGGTGTCCCTTGTACCGGTTTCTCAGTGTTTCTCGCAATAGATTGGTCCGTTAGCTTTGTGAATATTGAGGCCTTCTGATCTCGATACTAAAACCCAAGTCATTGTGTCGATTCGATTAAGTTGCCTTTCAATTGATAGGTCGCGGTTCTCATGAACGAAGTACTTTTCGGTCCACGCATCCCGTTGCTCGGTAAATAACGTTAGTTTGCTCTGGCTATTTTTAGCGCCTCTTAACGCCGTCGACAGTTAACATGTCGCAGGTTTAGCTTACTAATGCCCCTTCTAGAAATATCAGCTGCAAGCAAGTTTTTACACGATGAAAGAGGCGCTGATTGGTCTCGAATCCACTCCTCTCTTTGAAACGGTCATTGTGATGTGGACGAATAACATCTCTTCGTATTACAATGCATGCAAACAGTGCAAAAACAGGTCTAAGTAGAGTTAACACATAGTACAAGCGCTGACAAACAACTGGTGTAAGTTCATTGCGCCGGAAGATATGTAGCAAACACAACAACTAAAACGACCAAAAATCATGAACTGGGTCAAAGTGATGAAATTAGAGTGAATGTCTGCCACTATTCAAGGTATCACACTAAGCTTCATAAAAAAAAAACGCGGTTTGTTTATGTAGAAGCGCAATTGAGGGCTTACCGATGTCCGTGTTCCCTTTTTTCTTGATATGAAAGGCTTCACTGATTTCTCGCTTGATCTGATTTCGATATTTTGAGAGCGTGTCACAATGATTGAATGGTGGAGTGCAGTCACAAGAAGAACAATCAGCTGCCATAGTGCTGCCTGTTGAAGACCTGAGATTGCACGCATATACTGTCTAAGGCGGCTATTCAAGCAGCGGTTGGTTTGTTTTGAACGGTCACACACGACAAAGGAATGTCGTATACATCATGTTCGATGCAATCAATGTACTGTGTCCTGCGGTTCTCGAGAGATAAGTACTTTTTGGGTTCTTCAGCGTTTACTTGCTTGCACAAGCGGCCGTATTCGCGGAGAGCTGAAGAAATGAACCTTACAGCTGCTTTGCCTACAGTCTTCTTGAACGCGTGGCTAACGCCGTGGGCGTATAAGGAATCGCACAAGTTTTTTTTTGTCCTATACCTGCAGTGAGCTCTACAGCGCGCGTGCCTTGAAAAGCTCTTTTAGTATCTTTTTGACCCAGGCGCACGTATAGTTTCATCGGATAGGTGGCGCCTTTGTACCCATGCACCTGAGCACTAACGTTTTTTTCACGCTTGATGAAAACAAGGCCTCTGAGGTGCACTTATGAGGACCCTAGAGGCAACTCCGTGCTTCAAGAGTTTTGTATGCTCCGATTTGATCGAAAGATTTATTGAAAACATTTATTGGAAAACCGAAGAGAGGTATAGTTAAGGGGTTCTGCAATGGTGAAGTCCTTATTCCGCAACCCCATTGGTATCAGCCGCCAGCTCAAAAGCAATTATACGGCAGTAGCTACTTGTTACGCTTGCGTCGTGCCAGGGGCTTTGCATACCCCAGCATGTAAGCTCACCGCCAACAAAAACTCCAAAACATTGAGGGACCGTCTGTGGGAATTGCTTGGTTAGCAATAATGCGTCGAGGGTGGCTTCAAGCACAACAAAAATTGCTTCTGTTATTCGTCAATCAATCAGTCATGTTTGAACAGCGGAAGGAAATCATCCTGGCACAGTAGACATTGAGGACATCATGGCCGGAAAGGTCATCCTGCAACTGCCTGTCTATAGGCGTGCCTACAGTAAATCGAACGATACGGGGGCAAGGCATGAGCCGATATATATGCCCACCTTATGGATTTAAAGGCCCCCGTCAAGCTCGAAGAACGTGAAGCGTAAGTACAACGTACCAGCAACTCCATAAAAGCATGAGTGTTGACCACACACGAATTTTGAAATCGAACTGTACCGTAGTCACAATGCTCTCACTAACGACTTCACATTTGGGGTTCCTAGGCAAAAAGTGATAGAGAAATCGGAAACAAGCGTGAATGATCCAACCTCCTCGGGGCTCCCGAGGAACATGTCGACTTCGCTCGGTCTTCTGCGAGGAATGGATCGTCTATAGTCGGGACAGATACAAACCGCTGGAGGCAGAGACGTAGCGAGTGCTGCCGAGCGCCTTCTTTACTTACGAAGACCCTAAATTAGCATGCATCTTTGTTCGTCTTTGCTCAGAGGTATGTCGTTAAAGTCTAGGCTTCAGTCTTTTTGACTGACGTGACCAACCACTCAAGTCCTGCATCATTCCACAGATGCATCGCCCGCCTTTTAACCTTTCTTTGCTGGTTGTCTTCAACAAAGCTTAAGTCGGCAATTGTAGGTTCACAGACAAAGTCGCAGCGCCATTGTCTTGGGTCCAGGAATGGCGGGTGCCGACAAGAAGTAGCGGTCTCCTGAGCTCCGGGTGAATGAACCGACGGGAGGCCCAAGACTTGTCTTCGGTAACTCAAGCCTTCCTTCCCCCATACTACGCTCCGCAGAAATCAACTGCGCCTCCCCCACCCACGCTCTACCATATAACAGCGGGTGAAATACGAGACCCATGATACGATGGAAGCGCGTTGGAATACGAGCCACGGGTGGTGGGCGGGGGGCAGTGGAGACGGGCGTCAGCAGTGAGGGAAGACGCAGTGCCATCCATGTTTGGCCATACCGTTCTCTTCCTTTCTCCAATCTTTGCTTCCTCCCCCTCCCCTATTTTGCTTTTCGATAGTAAACGCCACATACGGAGCGTAGATGAGCAGTATGGGCTGCAACCACGCTGAGGTAGAACGATGAGGTTCTGTATTGTATACTTCCCAGTAGCGCCATGGACTATAACACCAAAGGACGTTTAGGAGAGTGAAAACCACTTCGATGCACCCGCAGTTAAGTGACAGTTGCAGTTTTCCCACCTGTGATCATCCTGTGGGGCTGTACTACAGTTTATTCATAACAGTTCAACGTCTCCAGTAGAATATTCCCTCCTCCTCCCGACTTTTTACCCGTAAGCTTCATGGCAGGAAAAGAACCTTTACTGGCACAGGATTTCGGCACCTTTCACTGCTGGGCGAAGATCACCCAGTTACCAAGTGGGGCCAGAAGACCCGTGAAAGAGCCCAATGGGAGCCGCTCATCGAGGCCACCTGTGGAGCCTCGGTGAGCTAGTTCGAAGAGTCGCAGCAGGCATCGACGGTGACACTGGTGAGCGGCATTTGTTGAGCTTCGTTAAGGTGACGGTGGCTCGACTGTTAGAGTGGTGTATCTATAAAATATGGGCTAAGTGGTGAGCAGTGGACATAGGAGAGTTGTATAGGAGGAAATAATGAACGAAAATGCCGGACCGCCAGAACCCCGCATAAGTGGCCACACGACGCTTTGAGCTTCAGTTTGAGGTGCAGAAGATGCAATGCTAGCTACAAGCTATGCAGATCAAGTAGCAGGAACGTATTGCTCTTAAATGCGCTGAGGTGGAAATGGCGGATGGCAGGCGCACTCCTTCGAGCTCAGAGTCGGGAGAACTCCACCGCTGAGCTTAGTTACCAGCAACAGTATCTAAAAACGTTGGTTACCAGAGATCTCGTCCGTTAGCTTCACGGCAGGAAAAAAAAATCTTACTGCAAGAATGGCGTCTCTTGCTTTGTCTATTTATGTTGCTGTCGGCGTGGTGGCGAAGCGTCTCATTTTTTTGTAAGCTCCTTGTGTTTTTCAGTTCAACGTAAACTCGGTCGCTTGTGCAAGTAAGCAGACGCTCAAGAACCCAAGAAGCGCACATGTGTCGAGAACCGCAGGATGCGATACGCCGAATAAGTTGATTACGTGGAGTACGACATTACTTTGTATAGAGCGACCGTTCTTACACGGGACAAATCGGCCGCTGCTTGAATGACCGCCTTAGAACGAATGCACGCAATCTCAGGACTACAACAAGCAGCACCTTGGCAGCTCATTGTTCTTCGTGTGACTACATTCCAATTTTCGATGACTGTGAAATGCTCTCATGTTATCGAAGTTGGATCAAGTGTGAAATCGATGAAGCCTTTCACATAAAAAAAGAAAAAGAAGAGGAAGATGCGTCATTGAGCCTTCAGTCGTGCTTATAGATAAATAAGTATAATTTTTCTCAAGTTTAATGTGATACCTTGAATAGTGGCTGATTTTCATCGTCTTATCATCACTGTGACCACCTGACAGTTCATTATTTCGTGTCTTTTTAGTTGCTATTTTTGGTACACTGTTTCCAACGCATTCATCAGCGCTTGTATTGTGAGTCAATATACATTTCGACAAGTTTTTGCGCTGTTCCGACGCAGTATCATGCACCAACTGGCTCTTCGAAAAAGTATTTTACAATTCGCGTTTAAATTTACACACTTTACGAAAACCTTTTTGCGCCCTCTTTGTTGTTAGCTTGGGAGTTATAGTTCTCGCGGCACTCCTGATAGAGGTGCGCGTAGACCTTCTAAGCTTTTTCACGATGACATAACATTCGCGCACTGTAAATGGAATTGTGTCTGCTTGGCGCACCGGCCGACATGGCGCGAATGAAATCGCACTGACAAAATTACAATAAAATTACTTTTTGCCATAAACAGTGATCTGTTGAATTAGTTTAGCAGCCTGATTATTTCTGTTGCAGTGAAATCCTTCCCAATAACATAACATAACAACCCATAATATAAATATAAATATAACAACCCATCCGCTTCCCTTTTGGCGTAGAAAATTGATTTAACAAGGAAAAGAAAACTAACGAATCAAATGAATCTGATTGCCGGGAATCAAGCTTTGGAATGATGCCACAAATATTTCTGTGCTGTAAACAACTTATTCATCAATTAGCGCATGAATAACCAACATTTGTTAAAGTGATTTCAAGATAGCTTCATGAGTTTTGTGATTTTTGTAGACAGATACAGAAAGAATTAAGAACAAAATAACGTCATTACCAGACGTAACGTGTAACGTAATTTAACTATATCTTTAAAATCAAAATTTTAATTAGCAATGCAATTAAATTACTGCTTAGGAGTTATCATCCTTACAAAATGTATATGGAAAGCAGATCCTCAAGAAGTCTAAAAGAACCCTAAAAGCATAACGAAGTACCCTAAAAGCAATTTCGCAGGCACGAGCATTTAGTCATTGTATTCCCAAGTTTTCTACTTATAGTAACAATGCCGCCAGTATTGGCACGAGCAAAGATGAACCACTTCTACACGCATGCTGGAAGCAATCAGCAAGTTTGGATGGCTGGATAATTCAAAAGATTCGACAGAGACACATTTAAAAGAGTCGCTAGTGTTAACGACAGGCGTATACAGAAAGATGTAAGGATTGAGCGGAAGAAGAGTGTGCAAATGTCATGGCATCTGCCCGACATATTCCGCACATACTCGTCGATTGAATGAGCGAAACGGGTCGTAGGAAATTTCCCGAGAGATCTTGCCTCTCGAACGGTAAGAGACGAGAGTTAAAGACACAATATATTTCTCGGATCTCATTGGAAGTCGCTAGAAAAAGTTAAACCTGTGTTACCTCGCGTCGTGTAAATAGGTGCGCTTCCAGACAGCCTAATGAACTTTCCCAACTTTCTGCAAGACTTCAGGGATGGTACGTGGTGGTGACAATCAACCGAAAGCCGCCCTCCTCTTCCCACGGGGGGAAGTTGAGTAAATGCATCGCAGAGTGGTTGGGGTATCGCGTAAATGTTGCGTAATTGGGTATGGCTTGGGAATGCTTATGTGTCATTTCGTCTTTATTATTCGTATTTAATGAATGATTGAGAAGCGTTGCCTTCAACGAGTGATGGGACGCCGATATTGGGTTGTGCCCCACTACTGGTACTGTTGCTTCCACCGCATCTACTCGAGTCATGCAGACCATCAAGTAAGCGGAAAGTCAAATAAAGACGCCGTTGACTGAATTCGTAACGCGTGATCCAGTGCCTACATGTATACGCGCTGGCCCGTGAACGGTTGTGCAGTGCGAGCAGTCGCCTTGCGAGGCGAGAGAGGGGAAAAAAAAAGACGCCTTTCGTCTGTTACGCTCGAGCTACAGAGAGGCTCGTGATTACAAGAATGTGAGCACGCGTCGTGTGGAATGAGATATGCTTATAGCATATCTATGCTATATATAGCTATATATGCCGTATAGTGCAGGTATATGAACGTTCATAAATGCCTTCTTCTTTCTTATATTAACGCGACACCACATATTGACGTGGTTAATTTCACACGTGGCGGCACGTACATTACTCGTAGATTCACCTAGTGGAATGAATGTTAACAATGACGCGTATTGGCGCTGAGTAAGTATGTACAATAATAATATATTAAAAAAACAAGTTTAGCTTGCTATGGTGCGGTGATGCCAGTATCAACCCTCGACTAAGCTTACAGTAGCGACCTGGCGTTATAAATATTGCATCAGAACGTTTTGCAAAAGCACAGTACGTCCTTTCTGTTCTGTCCTTAATTTTTGTTCCTTGATGGTGCGTGTCTTTTTCTATTTCTCTACATATTATTACAGTGCACGGTGCATTACAGTGCACGGTGCATTACTTTTGATTTATTTTGCTCTGTATGGCTCTGCATGGCTCTGTAAGCCAGTTGGAGGTTCGGCGATCGACTTAAGGCTAGACCGATAAAGTTACGCGGAGCTCCCATGTAAGATGAGGCCGCCTAATTTGCTTTCTAAACCGGCAATTACACCCGCAATCAAAAACTAAAAAATCTTGTCTTCACACAAAGTTGCACTAAGCATCGATCATCAAGTACGACTTTTAGCCACTTCGAGCCATATTGCATCAAGTACGAATACGAATTTCCACTTCCGCAATAAGTCAATCAACATGTTGCCCTTTATATTGGACGTACCTGTAGCAGGTGCCAGGACTTTCTCCACGACTGTCATGTTAATATGCAGCGTAGTTCTTACGCTATCTGATACGTGACGCGAAAATTCATATTGCAGGATGGTGATCAAGTATAGAGGGCTGAATCGGGACTCTGCGTGAGCGGCCGCTTCGTCTGTGGATCGGAATGGCAGAAGAAGGGCAAGGTGAAGCTCATTGCAGCCACGCCAGCCGAAGCTCTTTGATCCCCGGCGTGTCCCAGCACGCTTCATTTTTCAAGCACCGCTCGAGAGATTACCGCCGCTCCTGCCGCTATATAGACTTCTTCTCTTCGCCCAATTTCCCGCCAGTCTCGGGGGAAATCTCGCCGAGTTTTCTTGCATTCTTCCAACCGAGGGGCCATGAGATGTGCTCGCCGAGTCTTCCGAGCCGCGAACGTCAACGAGTCGCGGAAACGACTGCGTTGGTGCGACTCATCGCGTAACTCGGTGAAGTTGACAGAAAACTCGGCCCCGCGCGGTTGGGAAGGAAGCCCACCGGGAATAGAATGGCTCTGGCCGACTCTATTGAGCGTCACAGATCTCCGAGCTCGATCGGCTGCCCAGCTCCAGGCGTGGATCTTTACTAGCCGGGAAGAAATATCGCCCGAATCTTGCGGAATCACCGTCATATCGGAGGTCGTCCGCGTGGCTATCGCCCAAATTGCTGCTTCGTATCCGGTTTTCGTGTTTTTGGCCGAGAGAGTGATTTGCCAAATTGCTCGTGTGGTTGTTTAGAACGGAACCGTTGGGCCATAGGTGTCGTACTTTATATGGCTCTGTTAGCCATTACTCCAGGTCGAATTACCGGATGCCCCACAGAGCTGAGCGGCGGAGCACAATTAGAAAGTGAGATAGTTCAAAGACGCTACTAGAAACATTTAAAAGCCCTGAGCTCGTATTCACTGTTCCACTTGGTTGTTGCGTGTTCCGTGCATTTAAGAGTGGTCGTTAGTTTGCAGCGACACTCTTGAAAAAAGTTTCAGAGAAGTATGAATTCAGCGCTGGCATCTCGTGAAGATTGTTTTCCTCCGATTCGGTTCGTGTATAGTCTATTCGACCGAGTGGCCCCGTTCAAGTGACAGTAATGACGTTGGTAATACTGTGTCAGAAAAAAATAATGGTGTTTAAAGAAGTCGTCATCTATTGCGTAAAGGTAATTCTCCTCCATATTCTGTTTGTTCATTTCAAATTATATGTATTCTGTAGGCGAAGAGATTATTCGTTTAGTATAGCTGCCCCTATCCCGCAGATTTGTTCCTTGAACTACAACACATGAATAAAGAGTTAAAGCTGGATTAATAAAGAATGAAATGAGAAGAAATGACGGAGAAATACGCGGTGCAAATCTAGTTTTCTCTCTGTCCCGTCATAAACGGGACAGAGAGAAAATGCGTGCACGCACTTTTTTTTTCTCACCGTGCAAAAACGTCATGCCGATAGTAGCTGCTGATGCAAAACGCGTTACAACGACCCCTTCCACTCGCACACTGTATATACCTTTGCGTCTCTAAATAGGTGCTGAATATAATACGGCATGCACTCCGACAAAGCCCCGTAGTTTTGAATAAGATAACGAAAACACTCTAACTGTACTATATTGTTACGCACAAGGAGGCTGAAAGGGGCCGTTTATTTTGGTCGCGAAGAGAAGCGCCGGAGCGGCCAACAGGTTGATGATCGCAGTGTCGTCGTCTTCTTTCTTTCTCCAGCTTCGGGCAGCCAGCCTGTTCACCCATCTTCGTTTTCTTCCCAGGCATGCGTAACAATATTGATGTATGTACTAAATTGCACTACGAAAGTTTCTTTCCTTCATAGTCACGTGTCACAGTCTTTGATATACGCCACGCTCAAGTTTTTCTTGCGTCTTCCGTTTCCCCTATCTGTCACAAACACTCACCTCTAGATCCATTTTTCTTTCTAGCAATAGTTGATAGGAAATAATGCTCCTGACGAAACACCTAGCACTAGGCGAAGTTAGCGACATCCTGACGAATCACAAACAGTGACTTGTTTACTTTCGTAGAAAAGTCAGCACAGTGGAAGTCATTCCCTTATTTAAAAGTGCATGTGTACCTCAGCCCGTTCAACCCCCGATACAGTGCTGGACAGACATGCCGTAAATTTTACTGCTTGAACTTCCTGTTGGGCTTTCTATGTCGCAGGTCGGGTCCGTTCGACGCCGGTGCGATGGCAGCGTGGCTGCAGGGATATGTCTGCGGATTGCTTCTGGCATCATGCCACGTTTCTGCAGCCCCTACGATGGGACTTGAGAAGCAAGAGCTTCTTGGTGGCTACCGCGCATTCTGTAGCAAGTACCGCTGCTGCCCTCAAGAGACGGACCACGAGAGCATGGACTGCTCGGCCCGGAACGCCTCCGAGCTCCAGGAAGTCTCGATTCCAGCGCCGATCACGTCTCTGTCGCTGAGGCACAATCGCATCACGCAGCTCCAGCCAGGTTCATTTGCAGTGGCGCCGACGCTTTCGAGGCTGGACCTGTCGTTCAACAAGATAGATTTCATCTCGCAAGGTTGGTGGACGTCGGGCAGTGGTAACCCTGACAAGGCGACGTCGGGACTCAAGTCTCTCTCCCTGGCCAACAACGCAGTGCAAAGCGTAAACAGCTCATCCTTCGAAGGACTGAGCACGCTCCTGGCACTAGACCTGAGCTACAATCGAATACGAGTCCTGAGAGGCGAGAGCTTCGTGGGTCTGACGAATCTCGAGGAACTCGTGGTGGACCACAATCCTATATACTTCGTGCGGGGTGACGCCTTCGCGACACTGCCGCAACTTCGCGAGCTTCAGATGAACTTCTTGGATCGTTTGGTGCTTCCTCCTAATGCATTTGGATTCGTGCCCGCCATCACGACTCTGGGGATGGCAGGCAACAAACTTGAAGATGTGCCCGAGCAGTGCTTACGGAGCCTCAAGTCGTTGAGGTCACTTGACTTGAGCAGGAATCCGTTCAAAGTAATCACCGATTGGAACTTGCAAGACCTGCCAAACCTGAGTACGCTGCGCCTCAACGACCTGCACAAGCTGAGCAAGGTGGAGGCGAACGCCTTCGGAGTAGTGCCACGCCTGAAGGAACTCCACTTGAGCTACAATCCTCTGCTGACGGAGGTAGTCAAGATATTTATATTAAACCTATCAGTAAGATTAACTTTTGATTAAGTTGCGGTTGTTGACCCAGTCCATCCTATAGCATGAACATTAGAGCTTAATTACGAAAAACTGCCTTTTTATTAATTTAATAGATTCAACGTCGTTTCCTTCTAATCATACGTCATTGCTTGTAACCGCTTGATGTTATCTTACCGAGTGACAGCAGAGTCGGAAATCCTTCATAACCAGAAAAAAAAGGACATGATCAGGGAGTGGTGCGATCCATAGTCATACCTTGGGTCTTATAACAGTGATACAGAGAGCATCTACAGCGGTGAGTCATGATTTTTAATGGTAACCCCGCTGGGAGAGAAATAAGTAAAGAAATATATGAAAGGCACGGAGATCAACAAGACTACCTCCAGTTTACTACCCTACACATGGGGAGAAGGGAATAAAGGAGCAAAATAGATAGATGAAGAGAAGGAGAGACACATTGCGTCCCACATACATACTGCAGGGGTTCAGAGATGATCGCTCGGTGATGTTGCCTTCAAGAGCTGTAGGAGGCTCGTGTGACTTTCTGGGCTGATGTACTCAGAGTCCATGCTCCTAAGATCTTTCCTTGAGCAAATGTTCTGTCATCGAGTCTCCTCAAGGCCCACTGGAGAGTCCCGGGATTCTGCTCAAATTCGAAACAGTAGAACAAGGCATACTCAATAGCGTCTACACAGCTGCAGTTACAACACTTTGATGAATCAGCCACATGAATGCGTTGGCTAAATGAGTTGGTAAGCACTACAACGATCCGCCACAGCATTGCAGTGTCACGTCGTGAAATCTTTGATGACAGGTGTCGTTGGAGTAATGACTCGAGGTTCTGTTGGCGACATGTTGAATTCAGTGGAGAATTTCAAATCGTAAGCGTGACATTGTGCATGATTAGTTTAAGTTCTCTTGCCGCGTCGACTATTGACAAATGTATGAGCAGTGTGGACGTTCCATCGTGAGCACATCAGGCAGCGCTGTCGGTGATGTGGTTACCGCTGATCCCGCAGTGACCCGGCAGCCATTGAAAGACTATGTCGTGTCCTTGAATAGCGGCGTGATACTCATTTTATTGTTTTGAGACAGCAAATGACGATAGTTTCCAAATCATAGACTTCGCACGCATATATGGAAGTCACGGGTATCACTTCCTGCGTCGCGAAGTGCGCCAGAAAGACGAGAAACACACAAAAAAGTGCTCTAGTTTTTTAACACGCAAGCGTTATATGTTGGGGTCCACCACGGCTCCACGTGACGTCGTAAAATACGTATTAACAGATGATAAACAAAAAAAAAAACGAGAAAGAAAGTTTTATAGCCGGGTTTCGGGGCAATGACCTCTCGCTCCGCAGCGCGCGGCGTGAAACCACTAGCCCACGAAGCATACGTTAAACAGCTTGCTAACGGCCAGCCATTTTCACATAGACCGCATTCAGTTATGGTCCTCAGAGCTCAGCAGCTCGGGCGCGTTTTTGTCGTCAGTAGCGAGATGGCGCGAAGGACACACGTTGGGTAATTTAGCGGTGAGTAAGCGTTGGGCGCGCTCTAAGGGTTGTCGCCCCGCGCGTTGCATTGAGAGGGCACCTCCACAAGGCGTTGCCCGTCCGCGCGTGGTGAGGCCGCTTTGTATCTTCTGTGCTTCCACCGCAAATTTGCTTCGAAGTTAGAGTAGTAAAAGAGAGCACGAAGGTCACTTCGCTCCCTGATACGGCCGCATTTTCGAAAGCAGTGTGCAGGCCACACACGAAGAAATAAGAATTCGGACGGTTCGCACTCGCCTTGTGTATACGTGTGCGTTTGTTTTGGGCGTCTTTTTTTAAAGTCCCTAGCTGTAACAGCTGTTAGTCCGCACTCGTCCTGCGTGTGCTCATTTCGTGCGAGCTTTTTGCTTGAGGTGCGCTCTGCAAGCTTCGAGCTGCTTGCCGTTTTTCGCGTGACAATACAATTCGTTGCTGTAGTGCCCATTCCTCCGCCCTTGTGGTGAAACCACGCACGATAAACCCTCAACTTCGTCTGTGAAACAAGCTTCACATTCGTGTTATACCGATTTCTAGACAGAGGGGTCAGCCATGTTTTTTTTCGTATTTTCATAGGCTGGTGAAGCTCCTTTAAAGGCTATTTCTTTCACGTATGTAGATTATTTTTATTACTTTTCGCGAATAAGAGAGATGCGAAAAAACTGCAAGTTTTTCTATACTTCTTGTTTAGTCCGCACTTGCCAAACGACGCGTGCACTGGGAAGCTATTTGTGGGAGTTCGCTATTTGGTACTGCATACTTAAAAGCTTCAGCGCAAAATGTACGCAGCCAACAAGGAAGTGACAAGGACCAGTGAAAGCTTCCAGCTGATGCTTATTACAGCAACACACAAATATATATCTTAGACGCGTGACTGCATCTACCCCTGTCAATGCAGAGGAGTGGTAAAACGAACTCATCCAAAATTGTGGATGTATACTACAAAAGGACATCGCTCGTCAGTGAATTCCAGCTTCTTATGTGTTGGAGCAATGAATGGCTTGCTGACGCAGCTTCCATTTGATATCGTCGCAGCATCAACGGTGTTCCTAGTGTTACCGTTAGAGTGAGTGGCCAGTGCGACTGCTCTGTCGGGAGGGGGCTTTGACGTGCGTTCCCGTATGCTCAAAATAGTATACACTGCGGACTAACATTATATACAAAACTCTGCACGTGTGTGACGCGCAGTTGGAACCGGAAGTCTTCTACGACGCAGAGAACAACCGGAGTGTGCAGCTCAGCGGGCTTTACCTGCGCCACACGGGCCTGCGTAGCCTGTCCCCGAAGCTGCTGGATTGGAACCAGATCGTGGACGTGGACCTGAGCGAGAACGCGTGGAGGTGTGACTGTCGGCTCAGCTGGATGGCGAGCTTGGCGCAAAGACTGCCAGCTGAACACCGGCCTAGGTGCGGAACTTCTCTATAGTTCTTAAATCCTTTTTAAGGGGCATTCGGCGTACGGGAGATTCGTAGCGGATTCGACATCTGACCGCGATCCTGCGGCAAAAATATTCAGAAGCGCCTGTTCACTAATATTTCTGTCTCCTCATTTTATAGCACCCTTCCTTGCGGCGCTTTGTCCTTAATCTTCACTGTTTAGGAGCTTGTGCTCAGGGATTTCAGAAGCGATGTATTGAAATCCCAGCGGTGTAATCAAGTGGCTTTTCTCTCACTGCGAAGTGCTGCTTCGGTATAAATTCAATCAATATTCAATATTGAATCAATATCATTCAATATCAATCAATAAATCAATAAATCAATTTGAACTTGATTTCACATCTGTTATAGATAACAGGAAAACGGACAAAAAAAAACACATAACGGCTTGATGAAGTCGGTGCCCCCCCCCCGACCTTCATTTTTTTTTGCATCAAGAAGTAAACGAGCAAAATAAAACCTACAATGCATAAACAGGATCGTGTAAAATACTATTTGCGGAAATGGCATTTCTGAACTTCAATTATTTCAAAGAAACACATTTCTGCAACTCTCAGGAAAAGAAAGAAAATTAAAACAGTAAAATAGAGATAATTTCAAAACACTTGTACCCGAAAACGTTTCAATCAATCAATCAATCAATCAATCAATCAATCAATCAATCAATCAATCAATCAATCAATAAACCATGCCAAAGTACCGATATATTTACTAATGAGGCGGCAACAGGGGCTAGTTGATTCGTCTTCATGCTTTTGATGCGTTGCCAGGTAAGGCTAGGAACAGAAAAAACGAGAAACAACACAGAGTGATGCGCATCACCGTGTCTTTTTTTTTGTGTGATGTGTGTGTTAACTGGCAGCACATAAAAAGCATGAAGATATACGTTGTTTCGCACAGCCAGAGGTATTACAGCATATGGAAGCGCAAACCAGGTTACACAAAGAACACACACAAAAAGGGACGACACAAGCAATGAACTTCAAGTGGTCGACATTCAACTAATTAAAGTTCAGCGTTTCCTTACCCCCTTCCTTGTGTCGTCCCTTTGCGTGCGTGTTCTTTGTGTAACCTGGTGTGCGCTGCCATATGCTGTAATATCTTAGTAACTGGCCCGCCTATACGTTTTAAGCCAAAGATAGTTCTAAATAACCGAACTCTCAGGAGGCCTTATGCATTCGCCTGAGACGGTGACTCAAAGGTCAAAGCCGTCTTCTTTTTCCTCTCAGCCGATGTGTCGATCCTTGCCCCCAGCCTTCCGAAAGCTTTCTGTACCTAGCATGGTTTTAAATTGCCTCCGTGATCTGAGACATTGTAAGCTCTATACAACTCACCGGTTTTTCCACTGCATCCGCAATCGGCCCTCATTTGATCAAGAGAAGATGTCGTCATTATGCGATGCAAGGCTTCGACGCCATAGTGACATCATGATGAAGTCGCATAAATTTTAGTTATTTTTGGTGTCATGATGTGATATCGCGCCTTCATTACGGGATGGTGATCTTTAGGGGCGAAGTTCCTTAGGTTTTGGGTGCTTCCCTCCTCTATAGCAGTAGTAGTCTGTAGTCACCTTTAGTTTATAAGTTGCTAAATAGATGTCATTGTGTGTATATGTCCTTGGGAATAAGATAACTGGATGGCGTTAGAGATTTTCACAGCATATTCACGGAGTGAATGATGATGAGTGGGCGAAGCGTTCTTTCGTCCGTCCGTCCGTCTATACGTCCGTCCGTGCTTTCGTCCGTGATTCCATTTGTCCCGTCCGTCCGTCCATGCTTCCATCCGTCCATCCGTGAGTTCGTCCGGGCGGTCGTTCATCCGTCGGCCTGTCCATCCGTTCTTCCCTCCATCCATTCGTGTTTCTGTCCGTCCGTGCGTTTGTCTGTCCGGACGCACGGATGGATGGCCACATGGAGACGAATGGACGTTTTGCCTGATTCATTATGATTTATTCTGTGGATATGCTGTGTTTTTTCATCACTGTCGATGCCCGTGGTTAACTCTAGCTTCTAAATAGTTCGCCTAACTAAATTAGTTAATTAATACATAAATAATTAAAAAAATAAATAATCGGGAAACTCACGTGTCGTGAGCTCTCAGTGCATGTTAACCACCTATGCAGCTGAGATATCATGCGGTGCGTTGCAATGCTACGGCCATCTTTATCTCACCTTTCTCTGAGAGTGTCCCATGCTATGCGGGGTAGCATACTGGCTATCCTAAGCTGGTTAACATCCCTGCTTTCCTTCCTTCCTTCCTTCCTTCCTTCCTTCCTTCCTTCCTTCCTTCCTTCCTTCCTTCCTTCCTTCCTTCCTTCCTTCCTTCCTTCCTTCCTTCCTTCCTTCCTTCCTTCTTCCTTCCTTCCTTCCTTCCTTCCTTCCTTCCTTCCTTCCTTCCTTCCTGTCCTTCCTTCCTCTCCCTTCCTTCCTTCCTCCTCCCTTCCTTCCTTCCTTCCTTCCTTCCTTCCTTCCTTCCTTCCTTCCTCCACTTCCATTCCTCCCATTCCTTCCTTCCTTCCTTCCCTTCCTTCTCTCCTTCCTCCTTCCTTCCTTCCTTCCTTCCTTCTTCCTCTCCTTCCTTCCTTGCTTGCTTCCGTTCCTTCCTTCCTTCCTTCCTTGCTTCCTTCCTTCCTTCCTTGCTGTGACACTGCAGTGACGTCGTTCATATTCAAGCGCGTCACCTTTGATTACTATGCTTCACCGAATGCAATCACTCGTGTACGCAGATGCGCAGCGCCATTCAACGTGGAGGGTCGTGCCGTGGGTGACTTGAGACCAGTACGAGTTCACGTGTGGAGACACCGACTCATCCGGGCTCGGCTCTTCAATTGCCATGCTGTGCATTCTGATCGTGTCGGCGGCAGCCGCTGCCCTCGGAATGGCCATTTACAAGCGCGTCTCGCGGAAGGACGGGCCAGCCTACAGAACCGTTCCCGGAACTGCGGGCACCGCGGTAGAGGAAGTGGAGCTCTAGCGTATATCTGCGGCATCTCCCCTTCTGTGGAGCGTTCGCGTACCTTCGTTAAGCAGCACTACAATGTACTACGTCATGGCTTACGAAAGACGCATGAAACGACGGCATCGCAAGCTTCGTGCACTTTCAGCGAGTGTTTCTTGGCATAGCGTGCCTTGTAACTGTAGCGCTGTTTAACGAACATGCAAAACCAACTAGGTTATTCCCTACATTCGCGTACCGCAGTTCAAGTGGGCAGGTGACCACGTGATTATCGATTAGAGGGTATAGATAATTTTGTTTGTATTTGGGGTGTTCTTGGCTGAATAACTTCGAACTGCGTGTCCCTAACGCTGCCACTCAGGCTGCACTGATCTAGCCACCCTTCAGTATACGCTAACCGTAGCTAAAAAGAAAAGTAAGAAAAATGTTGTACTTGAGTACTGTTCGAGAGCCCCTTTAAAGGGACAGTGAAGAGAAAGAGAGAGAGAGAGAGAAAAAAAGACCTGTATCAGTAAATTGCGCATCTCTAATACCCCTTAAATCCACGACTTCGTGCACAAATCCGCACCGAAATTCATTGCTTTGTAGAAGCGATGTAGCTTATAAAGGTTCTAGCATGGGAAAATATCCATTTTGCACAAGTGCCATTTTTGATACAGATACGAAGAAGAGGAAACGTAATCATTGAATTAGATGAATGCACGCGCTTTACTGAATACATAGAACCACTATTTCACTCATGCGTGGCTTGCCCACACTGCCCTCCACTTTGTATGTTACCTCTCTCCCCCCCCCCTCTTTTTTGTGATTTCGTTGCATTAAATTCAGTTTATTGATGCGGTTTGATGTCTGTGTAGTCCTTGTTTTTCATGTTCTCAACTTCGCAGCTTTGCCTTTTTCCTACAGTATCTATTTTGGCTGTTCAGCGCATAGAGAAAAGGACGAAATGACAAATATTGACAAGGAACGTATTTTTTCCTAATGTTGTATGCACTGTCAGAACCTTCAAAATAAACTAACCAATACTGACGTTGACGGTGTGGAATTCTAAAGTTCCTTTCCTTGTTTTAATAGTGCTATAGACGAAATTAACAAGGTACTGAATTAAACCCCATTCAGTACAACCCTAACTCGATTTTAAAAAAAAGGCTTCAAAAGATGTCTTAAAAAGATGGAGCGCAATAAAGGAACAACGTACTAAGAAAACAACGAGGCTCCTCCTCGTTGTTCTCTTAGTCCGTTGTTACCCTTTTTTGCGCTTCAGCTGTTTAAGATATGGAATACCAACTAGCCCGTCCCGCATTTTGTTTTAAAAGATGACCGCTGATTTTGGTGGCACAGTCGTCCACCGCAGACACCGGTGTGCAACATACAGCTGTCCTGCTCAATGCGAAAAAAACAAAAAAATTGGCAGATCCCACGTACGACGGGAATAGATGTCATGCAAAATATGTGGAGGAACGTTGACTGTGGTGTGATGTCTTTTTTTTTAGCGAAACGTTACGAAATTACGTTTTAGGGGCCCTGAAACACTTTTTGAACATTTAATGAAAATGCTGCCGAACGGTAGTAGATGCTCGCGACAACACGCAAGCCAAATATTATAGCGCCGCACGCGGCCTGGAATTCACAATAAATCATCAAAATCAGCTAAAAAATTGCTCTCTCTTCTCTCGACAAACACGCAATAAGCTCAAAAATCACTCGTAGTAAGCCCATCTATCACACCATTGGCTGATTTGAACATGGCTCGCTCGGTCGTTACAGATATCGCCGCGGGAGGCCGTCACTTGTCCACGCGTGCGCGTGCGATCCCACTGAAAAAACCACGTATTCGAAGAAAAATGAATAAAAAAGTGCCCAAGGTCATGAGGCGCGTGTGAAGTTTTTTTTTTTGTTTGTTTGCCCCTCCTATCCCTCCCTGTTTGGCTTCCAGCGCTTCCAGACGAGAGAAGAGACAATGCGATTGTAGCGTGTGACAAATCGTTGTAACTCCACTCGTACTGGACGGATTCTTATAGTTTGCCGGCGTTGAATTTGTGAGGCAATACGCTTTTCCAGTGATTCATGTCCATGGTTCCCCCCCTCCCCAAACAAATGTTTCAGGGCCCCTTTAAGCGTATTTACTGATGTTATATGCAGAGGCATATATATTTAACAGTCGCGCACGCTTTATATAATCGGTTGCTTACAGTCGCGTAACGATGCCACGAGCAGCATTGGTATTACCGAAAGCAGAAGCCTATAAGCTACAATATAGCGCTAGGACTTGCGAGAATGGTATACCACTGGATAATGCCGAGTAGATTAGCCCCTGTGAATGGCGTCTAACTACAATTGACGCGAACTCGATGTGACGCCTGTAACACAGGACCACAGATGTAATGTTTATAAAATTATGTATAGAAATTGTTGTAAAGTATACTGAGAGTAAAACTGGCGTTTCACCGACATTACGTCTTCACAAGGTTGTTTTACAAAGCCGTTCAGAGTCGTGGCATGGCCTTGTGGTAGAATACTAGATTGGCGCGGAGAAAGACTGGGTTCGATTTCTGCTGGGACAATAACATTTCTCTGCATTCATTAGGGCAAAGCTGCTGATGTTTTTTTTTTTATTAACGCGTTCGCACCAATACCCGTTCTCACCGTTCCTCCGTAAATAAAACTGTCCAACACTTGTGGTGTATACCCGCATACCGTGGCTCATGGTGTACGGATATGGGCCACACCTGTCTACAGAAAAGGGTTTGACGTCGTACGTGATGGGATTTTCTCTTAATTCATGTCTACAACAGTCCTCGTGCAGCCAACTCGGTTCTGTGCTTGCTGCTGCCACTTTACTCACACACACACACACACACACACACACACGCACACGCACACACACGCACACGCACACGCGCACACGCACACACGCACACGCACACACGCACACACGCACACACGCACACGCACACGCACACACGCACACGCACACACGCACACACGCACACGCACACACGCACACGCACACACGCACACACGCACACGCACACACAAATGGAGTATGATTTGTATTTAAACCAGGTGAACATAGCAGATTGACTGCAAGGCAGCAAGAAAACGAAAGATTCATCTCTGCAGAATAAAATGCAATGAATATGTGTCAGTGCTGACAACTCTTTCTTAACAAGCTAAACTTTTATTTCTGTAAAAGCAAAGAACAACAACAACAAAAAAAACAACACACACAGACAAAAAAAAAAAACCACAGACTGCAGGCCCGACTTCTAAGGGTTTCGGCAGGTGGCGTCTCGGGCCTTGGACTTCTTGGCCCTGAACTGGGTGGTCCAGATGGAGCTACTGCTTACGACTGTGGTTCATCGCAGATACGCTCGCGCAGGCTCTTGTTCTCCAGCTTAAGCTGGATCAGTTGTTCCTGCAAAAGCACGGCAGCTTCAGATTTCGCCGCAATGAGAGAAGCTAGCCAATCTCACCATCGATCATTTTAATGTGTGCACGGTTAAAGCCTATGCCTGAATGCATGCATTAAGAAGGGTAGAAAACTAACAGTGAAGTCCGGTGTTTCGGTTGAGAAATATATACGCTTTTGTTGCGATAAAATTTACCTTGGGTACATGTCCATGAAATTTTGCGAGTAAATTTCTCCATGCCATTTCTTCTATAGTGTGCTTGTTTGTGTGCGCGTCACATTCTGCTAAAAAATGTCCGTATAAAGCATCACTACTACAGCGCAGCATTCTAACAATGTGAACTTAAGAACCAAACGCTGCGGAAAGTGGAAATTCTGCTCCCAGGGTGTAGCCGAAGATTTTTCGCTATGAGTGGTGTATACATGCGCAAGCCAAACTAAACATTTCCGGGGGGAGGGGGGGCTTCAGCCCTTTTCCTTCTCGCGACGCCCCTGTCTTCTCCTGTTTCTGCACTAATCGAAATATCTCGAACAATCTGAACAGTCTAATGAGTGATAGCAACGGGAAGAATTGTCATTCGTCAAATCTCATTAAAAATGCCGTACTTGATTGATTTGTGGGGTGTAACGTCCCAAAACTACGATATGATTATGAGAGACACCGTAGTGGAGGGCTCCGGAAATTTCGACCACCTGGGGTTCTTTAACGTGCCCCCAAATCTGAGCACAGGGGCCAACAACATTTCCGCCTCCATCGGAAATGCAGCCGCCGCAGCCGGGATTCGATCCCGTGACATGCGGGTCAGCAGCCGAGTGCCTTAGCCATTAGGCCACCGCGGCTGGGCAAGATGCCGTACTTGCACACTTGACGAAAATGAACACCGTGAACCAGTGCCGATCCTTTTGCTGCGCTGTGCTGTTAGGCATACACACCGGACGAAAACGGAAAGACTTAACTAATTACACACCTCTGCTCTGTTTTGTCCTGGTGTAACAGTACAGCGTACTTAAATAACTGTCATACCAACTGACCCCGTAGACCACGTATTGATCAATGCTTAAGACAATGACCATACAGCAAGAATATTTGACATTTCTTCGTGTGTAGAGGTGTACTCGTATTTCTGCGTGTAAAATCTAGGGAAGTGGCATTTTACTCAGGGAACATTAGGCCTTATCAAATACGTCAAATATACTCGCTCCTAGCACTAATGTTTCAAGGTAAGCTACAATATTAGTATTCACTAGCAACAGGACATAAAGTTTGGTTAGTACAAATGCTTCTCCGAAGCAGCGCGCAAGGACAGACGAGAAAGACACGAGTACAGCGCTCTTCGCGATGCCATATAGCATTCACTAGTCAGGTTAGCTTTGCGCCGTTAAGTTTTTCGCTTGATATATATTGCGTTACCCCTGGAATTTCACTCACGGTTGTGTCAAGCGAGCATCGAGTAACATCGCACAATCGCTTACATCTCCTTGTTGAGCACATAGTGGTTGTACGTGCCAGCGAAGAAGCGGAGGGGCCAGACGAGCGCAACACAAAAGGAAGAATAGTCGAGCGAATGCTCCGCTTGTTTCAGCGGTTGAACGTGGTTGAAGCTACTGTCGATCGAGCTCGCACGCTCCGCCGAGTGGGCGAAATGAGCGGGTGAGCGGCTCGCTCCGTTGAATCGCTGGCTCGCTCATCGTGCCACGCATGCGCGGTTTGCGTCTTTGCTCGTTCGTTGGGCCCGCTGAGCCACTCGGCTAACACCTGCATCATGAAATCTTTAAAAACGAAGGCTTATAGAAACGCGCACTCTCGAAAGGTATAGATAGCAGGCATGATATGCGCTGGCGCTACACTTTTCAGCTTCACGCCCACTAACGCAACGCGATAGCGTAATCGAGCCCCGTGCACACCACCTTCTCACTTGCTTGCCTGGCTTCGGTTCTTAGTGCACGCATCAACCGGGCCGTGATGAAACGAATTACCTGTGCACCTATATACAGCTTTGAAGTGTTCTAGAATGCGTACTGCAAATAGAGTTCTTAAAGTGCTCACTGCGCCATTTCTTCTGCGAATCGGCGC